GTACTTACTTTTTGTATTTTTATTTAAAATTTGGCACACTACAATAACTTGGTGAGATAAACACCATATTAAAATTTCAAGTCAATCTAAAGAATGCTTCGGGTATTTTTGAGTCGAAATTAGTAATTTCTGGGATAATTAACCGCAATATATCTCATCAAATACATTGTTGTGACGATGAGTGATTGAAATACAAGGGGATTGACGTTTTCTCAAAGTTTCCAACTCACTTGCCAGTAACTGATTTATTGATTGAGTTTGAAGATTCACATTATTAGGCCAGATAAAAAATAGTTGGTGATCGTCCTTTACTTTTACCAAAAGTTTGGAGGGCGCGCGGGCCGGTTTTTAAATTTTTTTACAGTAAAGATTGCCATGAAATAAACATGACAAGGTACTTTATTTCAAGACTGCTATGCTAGACTTCGGCAATGTCGAGTGGCTCGCGATTTACAGAGAAACTTGCGAAGATGATAAATTTCAATGTAGACGAACTTTGCTTTTTGGCCAAATAAAAAAATCCTAGGTGGGGCTCTTTATTATGGGCGGGCGTGAACGATCACCAACTATTTTTTAAATTATTATATAATATAATAATAGTATAACTGAAACATAATTCAGAAGCTTTTTGGCAAGTCCTGTACGTCGACCATATTAATCAAGGACGAAAGTTCGGTATTACGGCTGGGGGGGGGGTGAGCTTGTTTCGGTCCTGACCATGTCACCTGTTGTGGCTTTATATTTGATAAAACTCTGTATGTATAATCTTTCAAAACGTATAAGGGTATTTTTTTCGATTTCAGAACACCGCGAGGAGTTGAAAACACGAGGCGATATCCGAGTATTTTCGAACTAAGAGACATTAACGAGTAATTAATTAATAGCAATGAAGAACCTTTACGACAAAAAAAAAATGGAGTGACCGAAGTTATTAACATGAAGAGAAGATGATATACAAATTTTATGTTATTTTCTATTAACTATGATACAATACACAATGTACACAACGCATAAACGTTTTGGTTCCGAAATTTCAGAGAAAATATAATAAATTCAATGAACTTGAAAGTACATTTTTATAAGTGTCAGAGAAAGAGATTATTTATAAAATAGAACACTTTAAATATATTCAGGATGTATAAAAATAAAGGTAATCCAACATTAACATGCGTGCGTTATATATCAAATTTATCGATACATCGTTCGTTAGATATTGATCAAGTTCATGCGATGACAAAGCTGTCCGATAATGATACCTTTTTTGCATCATTATAAAGGAAAATGACCAAGTACGAATAAAAAAATGGTTGCAAAACTATTGAAAATAAATCCCATGGCCATGTGGATCTAAAATCACGAGTTTTAATTTAAAAAGCCCTAACATACATTGTGTATAAAAAATAAATTCAAATTAGGCATGACGTATTGTAGTAATACATGAATCAAGAATCCCGCAAATCGTGGGATTTTACCGCACCACCACGCGAGGTTTTGCTATTGGCCATTTCCCAAAGTCCTGGGTCTAGTCGCGCAAATCCCATGCTGGAAGGACAAGAAATATGGCAGCACACAAATTAAAAGTTTAATCACTGTCGTTCCAATTGAAGTGTTCCTCAAATATTGATTCAATACATTACCTCGGGCTGACCAATTCATTTGATCAAGTTCCTCGAGATATTCATACACTTCCTGTGAAAGAGCCAATTCCAAGTATTTGATCATTTCTGGTCACTTCCTTTCTATTTATGATTGGTTAGTTGCACAAACAACAAAGGTGATTGGTGCATTCAAACTATTCAACAGGAAGTTTACAATTATACTAGGAAGTGTATGAATATCTCGAGGAACTTGATGATATGAATTGGTCAGCCCGAGGTAATGTATTGAATCAATATTTGAGGAACACTTCAATTGGAACGACAGTAATGTAAAGGGGAGATCTTTCATTTTTGGTCCTCTAAAAAGTTGATATTTGATAGTTGATACTTCTACTCTTTCACATATTTAATTGACGCCTTTCGCCATATAGTTTGTCCCTCCAAACGATCCCAGAATGCACTGAGATCTCCTTTGGGAAAAGGCTAATTCCATGCGGGATTTTGCAAATTGTACATTTTGAGATTCTCGCGCGAATCGCCTACTCACTCGCGGGATGGTGCGGTAAAATTTGAAAGGTATACTTTTTTATACTGTATGTGAACAACTAAATAATTGTTGATAAATTTTATCACTTTTGTTTTAAGCTTTGTCATGCAATGCTTTAATCATGCACAAAGGAACACCGCTGTCAAACGTAAGGCGCATGCGCGAAAATGGCGGGGGGGGGGTAATGTCTGCCAAAAATAGGAGTGAATGAATAAGTATTAAAGTATAAAAGAAAATCGTTTACTATAAGGAAACGGCTGAAGCTACAAGGTAGGGAATTTCACCACTTTTTCCTTGTGTCAAGACAAAGTTATACCGAGTTTAATTAAACATTATACTATTACCAGTCTTTTGAATACAAGAAGTAAATACGCACGAACGTTTGATTGCGGTGTTGCACGAAGGTGGAAAAATACAATTTAGACCGGCACCTTTTAATCTTCTCGTATTTGTAACGTTATTACTGCTTGCAACGATACAAGAAAGGTGTCACTCAACAGTTAAAACCCCCAATTCTTGCTAATACGATATACACTCAATATGATACACGCAGAGCACGCTGAAGTTGGATTACCATTACTTTGATATACAAAATAAAGTACAATTCATTTAGAACGTATTCTTAATAACGGCCAAGCATAAAATCCACCCTCTTCTACTGTAGTGTCGTCGAAAGAACTGGGCAAAGGTGGAGCGACTTGCATTTCCGAAACCGTAGATGTGACCAAAACAGACAGGTATCCAGGAGGTAATTGTTGATTGTGCACCATGTTAAAACCTGTGACACATGCTTCTGCACAAACTACGCCATCATCATTTGTTAACTCTACAACGGTCCCTAAAAAAAAAATTGTCTTACAAACGTCTTCTCATAATATTACCATAATCAATGCATTCGAAAATCCAGTTTTATATTATTCTAATAATATTTAGAATAATATTGAAATTGGTTTTTCGTATCTCTGAGGATGGTTCTGAAATAACGCCTTCGTATTTTAGATTTTCGAACGGGAATAGCTTGCGCTTGGCTTTCTCCTTTAAAGGTTTCTGTCTCCAACACTAGTACGCAGTTAGTTCTTTTTCAATAGTCATTATTAAAAAAATTTTAATTAGTTATAAAGTATATTAATTTCATAGGTTGTTTGAATATGTTTCATTTCAATTTTCGCTTTAGTATATCCTGTGCCGCGTCATTAAGTAACGACCCTGCATGGTGTATGTATACAGGAGGTATAAGGATCGTCCAAGATTTTATATTTTGTCAACTAGATTTCAAGTCAACTGGATTTCAAGGTCGATTCACGAATTCTTCAACACATTTTAACATTAATTAATGTGCATGAAATAACAACCCAAGCATTAACTAAATGCAAACATTTATCGTAGTAAGCTCCGTGACACAGAATCTTTTTGAATTATTAATCTTGTCTGTAAACTTTTATTTTATCTCACCAGCAATTAAATCGAAATTTGAAGACGTCGAAGGACACTGACCAGCGCCTGTTGATGCAGTCGTCAGGGTTTCTTTAATAACCTGAGATGATGCCATTGTATCTGATGTAGCCGTTTCAGTATTGTCCTCAGATGATGCCATGGTATCTAACGTAGTAGTATGAGTAATGTCTTCACATGATGCGATGGTATCTAATGCAGTTTCAGTCAACACTGATGATGATTCAGTATTTGACGCTTTCTCATTTTGAAACAAGCATCTCATGCCATGCTTGAACAAATCCCGGGCAGCTTTTCCACTTGGGCTTTCCTTAGAAATGAATTTTGTTGCTGCGCCAGGAGTAGCAGCAAAGTCCCACACGGTAGGTCCACCAGTCGATGATGGATGGCAGTACAAAACCACCACATGATATCCGTGGTTTTGCTGAAGAGTTAACGCCTGTATAATAAAAAATATTTCACTCTAAAAATTTTATACATGCGTGCATGCAGCAAGCAAGCAATTGGGCGCGTGGCAATTTTCCCTTGCGTAAACAGTCTTTACCATCCCTGACGGTCTTTGCCATCTCGACCTGCGATCAAGCGTTCTCGGGGGAAAAGTGAATGGTAAGGCTAATTCTAAACGTAACCCTAATCCCAACCCTAACCCTAACACTAACCCTAACCTAAAAAGTTTAAACTGGAAAGAAAAAATGAACATGTTCTAAAATTTCGTGAAAAGAACACCAGGACATGAACACAAAAGATCGCAAACCAGACGCACGCTTTAATCACTAAGCTAATGTAAATCTCGCTGATTATCTTCGCCAAAAGATATTTTATATTAATGATATTTATAAATGTCCAAATCTCAATATGCAATTTGGTCAGGGATGGCAGAGCCGCTTATGAAAGGGAAATTAGCGGCGGGGTGCTATGTATACAAAACGAAATGATGGGCTTGAGTTTGTAGTCGCCTCATGAGGCAATTTTAAATTCATTATTGTCTCTGTGATAATATATATCATAAATACATATTATTATAAGTGGCTAATTGGCTTATTTGCCCTGAACTGGCATAGTTCTGGGGTAAATACGCGATTTAATCACCGCGGTACATTAAAGGAAACCGAGGTAATCGTGAACTATACTAGGTATACTAAGAGTTAATTACAGAGAACCGAGGAATTTAGTCAAATACAGGCCGAGGCACCCTCCTAGGAAGGATGTATTTAGATACAACCCTACTAACAAGCATGTGTAGACTGGTATAGATACAACCCTGAAGATCAATTCAATTCATCAGCCCCGCTCTTCCCTGCTTGATATAAAATCCCTCCCCTTGCTTTTAGAACGTAAACCTAATGAACAGGTAATTATGCTAAATATACGTTTTATGAATAACAATGAAACCCGACTCATTCATCATGTAACAAGTACTAGTTAAAACATGAGCAGCCGATCTTTATCTGATTTACAAACTCGAGCCGAATTAACGTGAGTTCTTTGGCGAAGTAATTTTAAAAATAAACATTGTCTAAGGCTAGAAAATGAAAGCCGAAGTTTATGTAAATCAGGACAAATCTTTATCCGATTTACAAACATTGATTAAACATTCATTTATTTTGTATTTTCCTCATGAATTATAAATGATTTTTTAAATTAATAATACATACCCTTTTCATGAGTTTGTCTTTTTGATCGGTGGTACTTGTATGTTCGGGCAACTTGATGTTTGATGGGCGCTTGGGAATAATTTTCCCGCACTTTGAACAAATTTTACAAGCATTGCCCACCGTAGCTAAACAATTTGGGCATATTTTCTTCCGAGAAGTAGTCTAAAAATCACAGATACAGTGGCACTTCAAAGCTTTGTAACAACATCATTATTCACTCACGTCATTGTACAATAAATTAAAAATCTGATTCCGGTTCAATTGTTTATGCACGTATACCGTATTTACTCGTTTGAGCGCCGCGGCGCTATTTAAATTTTCAGAGCTTCAGATGCGGCGCTCATTCGGGGGCGGCGCTCTTTAAAAAACTAATTTAATTTGTGAATTATAACAAGAACATTTAACAAAAAAATAAACAAGTTTTAAATGTCCTTGTCTCTAAATGTCCCCACTTTGACGGCGGGAAGTTTTTACACTGTTTAGTGCGGCGCTCATTCGGGGGCGGCGCTCTTTAAAAAAAAAAGATCTCAAATGCGGCGCTCATTCGGCGGCGGCGCTCAATTGGGGGCGGCGCTCAATCGAGTAAATATGGTATTCAAAGATAGTACAACTGTCAACTGGCTGCAGAATAAGGTCAGTACTGTATTTAACTTTCACAATGTATTCCATCTTTAAGCAGATTTAACATACGGGGATACAGTGAACGTGTACTGTAAATCGCTACATCCTTATTAAAAAGCGCAGGCACTTACAGTAGCCCTAATTCTGCGATAATTGTTGACCGTTATATTTAAGCTCGACACGCCCGCGTATGACTATCAAATGGCAAAAATTCCTAGACAAGGAGACTAACAGGCTTTGTATTGGAAAAATAATATTTGCCAAAAAGTAAAGTGAAACATACAAACTTCTTTTTAGGTACATTAACGTGTTCTTCATTCACACTTCCATCGCATCCTTCAAAAACATATTAACGCAAGGTAAGTTAAACATATTGAACATAATTATTATAGACAATATTTTTATAACTATTCCTACAATTTTTATCTGTACATATAACTACTAGACTACTACCTAGATTTTTACTGTAAATCCATTGTATTTTTACACTAAAGATGGATCATAAAACTATTATTATTACTATTATTATTATTATTATTATAACATAATGGAAGTTTATCTTTCCATCAATCACTATTTTTGTGAACCAAACCACATTTAATTTTCCTGATTTTTTTAAAATGAGTAGCTATTAAATATTTAAATCTTTACAGATCACTCCTACACAAAGTATTATACAAAAGATGACAGGACTGAAGACAAAAAGATTATACTAACATAAAATTTTAATACTATTAGGCGAAATTGTTAAAATTAAGTTAAAGATTATTAACGCTGTGTGATTGTGTTAACTGCATGAGTATCGCAATCACGTAATGTATAATATATTTCTAGAATTTAGGAGGACCAGATTGGAAACAATTAAGCTGTACTGTAGCTTTATCTGTAAATCCTCATTAAATATAAGTGTTATTATTACTATTATCATGAAAAAAATCATGACCATGTGCACAAGGCATGACCTGAGAAAATGTACGATCATATAGCTGTGTGCCAGATTTCTTCACAACTAATGAGCCCTTTGTATGAATCTTAGCATAACAATAGTGCCATCCAGTAATTGCATGGAATGTCTTAACTCTTAAGTCATGGAAATGAACGTATTAGAAAACGTCCGAAATATTGAAAATTGTTGCAGGGTTTAATTATTCATTATTTCGTCCAAGCACAAGAGCAGTTAATTCTGGTGTCTGAAAGTGCAATTTTATAGCTACCATATTAAAATAGTATTCTTTAGCTTTTTCTTTTTTATTCTAGAGCTGTCAATGATGCAACACCACATGTTTCTATTCATGCAATTGACAACCCATTACATGTAATGAATAAAGCCATTTAAGCCAATAATTTATTAAAAAATGAATTATTATTTATTCAATAATTTATTTATTAAGCCAATAATTTTAGGACCCAAGAACGTGGAGATCTATATGTTTAAATTGTAACTCTTGTTGAAGTTTGACCAATGTTATATATCAACTGTTGTTTCTAGACATCTGTATGTAACCTATATGTTAAAAGGGCCCGCAGTAATTGGTTTTAACTGTTGTGGTGTCCCCGCCATTCGTCACTTGTATAATATAATTGTATTTGTATTGTATGCATGTCATTTGTGTAATTTTACCTGGCGAAGTTGAATAAATAAATAAATAAATTTAGCCATGTAAATCTTTGTTTTATTGTTTCATTTTTATAAATAAAGTGTGCTAGTACCAGTCCTCTTTTGCATCACATGTTGCATACCTAGGTGCATTTCAATGCCTATGTTTTACTGTGACCTTTAATGTAGTATGATACATAAAGGATATGTAGGGTGTATGGTTTGGTATGGTATGGTATGGTATGGTATGGTATGGTATGGTATGGGATAGCATAGCATGGCATAGCTAGTATAGTATAGTATACAAATAATGAATGTTTACGAGTGAAATGGTAAGAATATTTTCATGAGGTGAAAGATGGAATGTTCCATTCAACGAGGCAACAGCCGAGTTGAATGGAACATTCCATCTTTCACCGAATGAGAACATTCTTACCATTGCCCGAAGAAACATTCATTATTTGTTTTATATAATACCAAAATAGACTAATAGATTCGTATGAGAAGCATTTTGAGGGTTGCGATTTATCGAAAACACAAAGAGTGCAATGGAATAAAACGTATAGTACAATTGCACTCGCAAGAGTGCAATGGAACGTATTCCATTGCACTCTTGTGAAATGGAATTTTCTATTCAATATCACATGACCATAAACAGCCAATTAAACGATCAGAATTCAATAAGGTATTATATAATATAGTATAGTATAGTATAGTATAGTATAGTATCAGTGGTGTAGCCAGCCCAACAATTTGGTCATGCTACGCAAATTTTAAATCATTATCATTATTAATTTCTTTAGAAATTGATTGTTTTCACAGTCTATGAACACGGAAATATTTGCATAGCATGACTAAATTGTAGGGCTGGCTACGCCACTGTATAGTATAGTATATGGTGTAGAATAGTATAGTATAGTATGGTGTAGAATAGTATAGTATGGTTGTATAGAACTCCACCTGATCGATGATTCCTCTTGGATGAAACAGGCTGTTGTGGCAACCCTCTGATGTAAAACAAACTAAATACCTGCTCCATCTATATGATATCGAGTTTTGGTTAAGTTTTGGTTCACAAAATAGTAAAGAGTGCTCCATATCTATAGATAGGTCAAATTGTATAGTTTTGACACTACAGCTAAGAATCATGTGGTAACAATGATTAAATAATCATCATTTATTATTTAATATTTATAGTATCAACAGTTATAAATTATATTGAAGGGTTTGTATAACTCATCAATTCCTATTTTTATAAATGTGGAAGACATGCAGATAGGTTTAACTTCAGACATTTTATTGTGATAACTTTAATATTTTATTGTGATTCTTTTAATATATATCTATTAGATTCGATTAAGATTATGCAAGAAGTGTTGTACATACAGTAGTTGAGAATGGGCTGTTCCATTTAAAAGACATAACCCCCCTATTCATCACCTTGGAATTGTTCAGGGGTAAGGTGATTTTTCCCCTGGGGTTAAACTCAGGGGTAAACAAATTAGCAAGTGGAATTCTTCAGGGGTTGGGTATTTTGAATGAGATTTCCTCAAGGGTCAGATAAAAAAATTGAAATTCTTCAAGGGTAAATGATATATTTAACAGGAATTCTTTAGGGGTCTCATTTATGTCAGGAATTCTTCCACAAGATGGCCAAAGTCACATACAAAATGGTGTCTCTGATAAAATGGTAAATGGTGTCAATAAACGATTGTATTTCTCGATTTTGCTCAAGCGTGCTAAGTGTAATCTGAATGTACCAGGTTACTTCATGGTCACTTTAATTGTGTCGGTGGTGTTGGTGGTGGTCTGATATATGAACTTCACTACAATTTTTTTTTAACATTTTATATATTACATGTGTTTGTGTATGTATGTATGTTATGTATAACTAATTATTACACTTTTACAAACTGTGTAAAATCTTATTAATTTAAACCTATCTATCTAATGTTCAGGGATATGGCAAAACCCTTGTTCTCTACAGTCCGTCTTTTAAATGGAATAGCCCAGTATAAAAGCAATTTCCAAACCTTTTTATCTACTAACGATAACGAGGCTATTATAAAAGGCCACGAGGCTACTACTATAATAATAACAGGTTTAAATAACATCCAAAAAGTTTATTTACCTTTTATGCATTAACTCTGCCTAGCAGGGAAACTTCTAACATACTTGTTAATAATATATTGCACCATGAAATATACCGATACTATTTAAATATGACCGCCTAAACAGTAAACATGTTGTACACCAACCTCAAAGTTCAGTTCACTGTTCATTTAATTTATTTTCACAGGCCTAGGTACATTAACATGTTATTAAACAACACTAACCTTCGTCGTTGTTCATTTGCATATTCAATATGTTCCCCGTATGGTAATTTTATTTAAATTAGCTGAATAATGAACGTGAATTTTATACAAAATACTACAAATTAAAACACCGACTAGCTTGCAAACAAGAATTAGGTAACCTGGCCTGGTCTGTCTAAAGGCGCCTTGAAATTGAGTGTCATACTCAATTTGCCCGACACATAACAATTAAGTCATACACTCAATTTCAGGTAGAGACTGGGTTGGTCGTTCGCAGATCGCTGAACAAAGTATTCGGCAGTCGTCGACTTGCTATCGTAAACTCCTGGGGTATGATAATTCTCCACTGTAAATTCCTTTCTGCAACGTCATAATTTGACGTCACAACTGCCGACACAAAATCGAGATACGCTTCAGTATACTAGAAGTTACTATCGCAAAGAAAGTGCTGCCTCACCCGCCTTCCATCACATAAGCACGTAAAGCACCCCTAAAGGCCCATCTACACGATACGACTAGTCATATACGATTCTTATCCTGGCGTTTGTACTCGAATAAATGTGTGTAAAAATGTCAAATTTCAAACTTCCCCATAAACTGATGAACAGGAATAGTGGCATCAGCAATTGTTTTCATACATCAGGGTAAGAATCGTATACGACTAGTCGTATTGTGTAGATGGACCTTAAGACACCTGTTCAGGAGGTAGGAAAAGTGCAATTTGAATAGTTACGAAAACACCTTGCACAAAGTCGAAGGTCAGCTAAATGCCTAAATACTCTAATTGTATTGACTTCCATAAATTCCTTACTCTTCAAGAAATTAGTTCTTTGAAAATTCCTTCATTCTAAACAAAGATGAAGGACTTTGCAAAAGTCTACAGGTCATGCTATGCAAGTTTTTAATGATTTGCATTATACAAATAGATGCAGGTTTATTAGCATATCATAACCAGTTGTTATGGCTAGCTTGCATGCCACTGAATACTGTACAATATCATATATAACAAATGATAATAATACTTGAATGAATCATTGGATATGTAGAATTTAATAACAATTTCATACATAGAAATACAAACTGTAAGTCAGTTTTTATCCCTATTATCATTTTAATGGCACCTTCAAGGCTACCCCTACCACAGAACAACTGAACAATCTGCCGATGGAGAGACAAAATCTATTTCAATGTTGACATTTTTGTTTAAGCCTGGTTCACACTGGTCGTAAATTATCGGAGATCTATTGTATTCTTTTCCAACAGACAAAGCATTTTACACACCAATGATCACAGACAATGGAAATCCCCGATTCTTACGACCAGTGTGAACCAGGTATTAATAATGTAAGCTTCATATGACACCATTCATTGTATAAATGATTAAGATTGTAATTGTTTAATATGTCAGCTTCATATGACACCATTCATTGTATAAACGATTAAGATTGTACTCAGTCAGAACTGCAAAACTATATAATAAGAAAGAAATTGTGACCATTATGGAAAAAAGTCAGATAATTTTTCATTCGTATACAATTGTGTGTTCCAATTCGGACATCATACTGCTCATTTGACCTTATGCATAATGATGTCACAAGACTTCATGCCCGTGAGGAATGCTGATCTTAATAGTCATTGCCCAGGAAAATTAAACAATTCAAAATGGCCACTATCTAAATTTTCCTGGACCGTGATGACTACTAAGTCTAAGACCAGCATTCCTCGCCAAACTCGCAAGCAAGGGCCTCCACACCCGCGGCGGGACGGAGACCCATATTCCCCGAATATGAGAAATTTACAGACCCGCTCCTCAACCACCCCTCTCTCAGTATAATTTGATTTACCTCCCAGAATCTGGGAGGTCACGTGACCAGCCTTTACAAGGGTCTCCGTCCCGCCGCGGGTGTGGAGGCCCTTGCTTGCGAGGTTGCATTCCTCGCAGGCATCAAGCCTTGAGACGTCATTATGCATAAGGTCTATTGATATACAGTGAAGCCCCACATAAAAGAACCAGTAGGTTAAGAACCACTAGCCTGAAATTTGGGCAATATTAACAAGTTTTAACATATGTAACAAGAACCATGCATATTTATAGTGTCATAGCAATAGTTTTGTGCAACAACAGTCCCTATTTAATGTTTAGAATATAAAACAGTATAGTGTGAAGTAAGATTATATAAGAACCACCTCAGCCTGAAGTCAAAATTCACTGGTTCTTTTATGCAGGGCTTTAATTTACTGCATATCATATTCCCATAATAACAATATTAATACTAGTAATAATCATTTTACTCTCTATATATATATATAACTATTTTATTGGCGATTTTCTAATTGACATACAACCTATATATTTGTAAAATTTGATATAGCTACAATACCTTGTTGGCTTGATCTTTTGACACAATCAGCACACAACTTTATTATTGCCAACGATTGCCCAGCTAACGAGATCACACTTCGCTAGTATAAACTATATAGTATAAAATAAAGCGAGTTCACACATCGCTAGCAAGTTTGGTACAGGTACAGCAAGTTCACAATTCACTGCTTTTTTGAAAAACATAATATGAGCGGCCCCTTTTCATTTGATTTAACCAAAAGATCCCCATGAACACACGCCAAAAAATACACCTAGAGGTTTACCTAGAGGAGATAAAAATGTTCTAATTTGTCAAAATATCAAATATCACTGCAGAGTGTACAGTCGATAACCTACAGCAATACAACATATAACAAGTCAGGATAACTTACTTTGAAACGACAACCCAAAACGGCGATAGTATTCGATATGTTTTGAAAAACTTCTAAACGATCTCCCTTTCTCACAAAACTTGAACATAAGGCCAGTATTTATACAAAGTATCACTTTGCTTGGGTCCTGACCTCGTGTTACAGGTAAACTACGTGAAGCGTTCCTCTTTTGACTTCGTAACTCATTTGGAATTTTCCTCATTAGCTTTGCAAATTTGAAAAACTCTTTGCAAATCCCTTGAGGGAATTTGCAATGTTCCTATCGGCTGTTGCAATATTCCAAACTTCATTTTAAATTTTCCTAACTTCCTGTTTTAATTTCCTAACTTCCTGTTCTGTTCTGAGCGTTGTTATTGGTCGATTATTTTTGTTAGCCAATTGCAACGCCCAGAACAGAACAGGAAGTTAGGAACTTCTAACAGGAAGTTAAGAACTTCTAACAGGAACTGAGGAAAATGTTTTTGGCTTTTAGCAACATTGCAAATTCCCTCAAGGAATTTGCAAGGGAGTTTTTTCAATTGCAAAAGTAATGAGGAAAATTGCAATCAATTTAGAAACTCAAAAGAGGAACGCTTCACGTAGTTTACCTGTAAAATGCTACAAAGCTTCAATGCTGATCAAAATATTTTTAAACGCCATACTTGGTACGTCGTTCGCAGTCGCTGAACAAAGTATTCGGCAGTCATCGATTTGCTATTGTGAACTCCTGGGGTATGATAATGCTCCAATGTAAATTCCTTACTGCTACGTCATAATTTGACGTCACAACTGCTGACAAAGACGTGAACGACACAAAATCGAGATACGCTTCAACTTTATAAAACTGTTGGCGGGAAATTCAAATGCGCTAAAACACTTCGTCAAGAATAGGAGGCTGCCTTCGGCAGCAATAATACTGTTGGCGGGAAATTCAAATGCGCTATAACCACTGAGCTATACTTAATATATCTGGAGATCGTGCTCCAATACCTCGTCAGTCAAAAATGTGTGGCCAAAAACATGGCGAATTTTGGCCAAATTTACGTCATTTTGACGTCACAATCGACCTAAATTTATGGTGAACACCACTGACCTAAAATACAAACGTGAAGAAAAAAGTTATTCACACCCCCCTTTCAATTTGCTTAAAACAGAAGGAAGTAAATTCAAAATTTCGGTCGGAAATTTCTATATTGAAACGAGACATTTGCAACCATGCCAACTTTTTGTTCAATTCCTGGTTGCCAAAAATCTACTGAAAGAAAGGACCTGTCCTCACATGCGTAAGGCTCGTATAATCTCTTTTTTTTTAATAATTTAACGCATGCTGTATTGCTGTATTGAATGCGTAAATTTGTGAATTCATGAAATTTATTGGCAAGCAACATACAATACAATGTTAGTGTACTACAGTGCAAAAGCAGAACAAAATTTTAAAATGTTGACAAGCTTGTGGCGCTGTTGTCGAGCAAGTATTTATTTTTATGCAAGTTGATGGATGTGATGCAGTGATGAAATCTTATCGATATCCTAACAGATAATGCTTAATGTTAAAAAAATTCAAATGAGAATTTTAACAATGTGATAAAGATACGACTAGCTTTAAATGTACAAAGCCTTTCACTCATTGTATTCTCTTTATTGTGGACTAAACCATGTGTTGTCTAGTGTGGCATTGTTTATATTGTAAGTTATAGGAATCGTATTGAACAGTGTATTAACTAGACACTAAAAACAATTGTTCATTTACTTCAAAGCTTTCCAGATGAGAAGAGATTCCCTGAATTGCACAGCATATGGGTGAAGAATATAAGCAAACTTATGCCAGACAGAGTGAAGTTTGTTTCTATGAAAAATAGTCGTTTGTGTTCAAAGCATTTTAGTGCCGATATCTTTGAGGAGGATTACAGCCAGAGACCAGTGTTAAAGCCATATGCTGTACCAACAATCTTTAATGATTGCTTTGGTCAGCTTGGTTGTGATCTTTACAGTTTATTATCAGTACAATTAATGGCCATACTGTACAAGAGGGGTAATTAACCCATTAAGCGCCAGTGCTCTCCCCTTGACGAGTAAAATTGTCTGGCGTTAGACAGAGTAAAATACTAAAATAGGGTGCTTCGCCACTCAATGGGTTAAATTTATTCCTTAATTTTTCTGCTAACAACTTTAAGTTATTTGTACACATTTTGGTCTGTTTAGCTAAGCCAAGATTGCTACATTAATTTTACATTTATTTTGACCATTTGGGTTAGTGTACAAATTAGGCTAGCATAATTACTGTAGGTGCTGACCATCAAGTAGGGATTGACATGCATAGAATTGGTTGAGCAGTTTATTTAATTAAATTGGTGTTGTATGTGTTTAAAAATAAAGAATAAATTTTGTTGTGATTTGAAATTGAATATATTATTTATTCTTATTACTAAATGTAATTATATAATTATCTTGGAAAATATTTTTTTGAATAAAATATTTTTTTTAATAATTCTTCACTGTCGTTCCAATTGAAGTGTTCCTCAAATATTGATTCAACACATTACCTTGGGCTAACCAATTCATTTGATTAAGTTCCTCAAGATATTCATACACTTCCTAGTATAATTGTAAACTTCCTGTTAAATGGTTTGAATGCACCAATCACCTTTGTTGTTTGTGCAACTAACCAATCATAAATAGAAAGGAAGTGACCAGAAATGATTAAATACTTGGAATTGGCTCTTTCACAGGAAGTGTATGAATATCTGGAGGAACTTGATGAAATGAGATGCTTGTGTGATGTTACTCTGAGTGTATATCCACACCGGGCAGGCTTGAAAAATATGCCTGGCCACAGTGGGATTTGAACCTACGACCTTTGGAATACTAGCCCAAATGCCAATGCTCTGTCAACTGAGCTACGCGGTCAGGTCGGTTTGAATCCCAATGTGGCTTGGCATATTTTTCAAGCTTGCCCGGTGTGGATATGCACTCAGAGTAACATCACACAAGCATCATATTCACAAATATCATGGTTATTAGATTACACTGATATCGAAGGAACTAGACTCAGTTCCGAAATATCGCATACTCGAACTGCCCCGACTGTATAGCTCAGTTGGCAGAGCATTGGGCCAGTATTCCAAAGGTTGTAGGTTCAAATCCCACTGTGGCCAGGCATATTTTTCAAGCCTGCCCAGTGTGGATATCCACTCAGAGTACGTAACATCACACAAGCATCTTATTCACCTGAGTACATGTATTACACCAAATATCTTGATGGAATGAATTGGTCAGCCCGAGGTAATGTATTGAATCAATATTTGAGGAACACTTAAAAATAAGGTATGAATCGCATAAAATGCAGATATCAAAATCAAACATTGTAACTCGAGCATAAAAATGTGCATATTTGTTTTAAAAGGTGATTGTTCCTTGAATGTTCAATGAAATAGTGCCATTGCCTTTTACAAGGAAGACCATTATAAAGAAATACACTTGACTTTCTTCATTGCCATCTGGTACTTAGTACAGATATCCCATATTTTCTTGATAAATTCATACCTGAAAGCGGAATACATACAGGTGTAAAAAACTTTAATGGTGATATAAGTGCTTTATATTTCAAAGAGTTGCTTTTCCCCACAATTTACTAATAGAATAAACTGGTATTAAAATCTCTAAAAAAACCTTTGTCACTCAGGGAAATTTATAGCAGTACGGTTTTCAACAAGCTATATTTGCTTAATTTTACTTGCTGGGGATTGTTATAATACTCGTGTTTTAAAGAATAATCTTGATAGTCAGTTCAGTTGCAACCAATGGTTGCAACACAAATTCACAAATACAACAAGAATTGATAAATCATTTCAATGACTTACATGCTTTGTTCTTGTGGCCGTCAAGCTCCATTCATGTCTTTTTTTATTAATGGCTTTCGGTCTTTATTGATTTAT